GTGTATCTATTGGGGATGGTAGCTAAGATAAAATTTATAGAAGTTATGACTGTAATCTAGACAAGAAAAGAAAGAAGATGGTTGTGAAAGGCAGAAGTAGCATTAGTGGAAAGGAACTGCCATGGGAATTCAGAGTACATGAGACATCAGAAAGAAAAGGGAAAGGTGAAAAAATAAAAAAAAAAATTGTACCTGAGACAGCAAGCAAGACTCCTGGAGAGAAAACTGGCAGACTATGGGGTCACGTAGAGCATCAAAAATGTAGGAGAGGAGCAAAAGATGCTTTGTTTTATCTTCATTTGGGATCAAAGAAAGCCTTTGAAGTATTTTGATTCTCTCTCTCTCTCTCTCTCTCTCTCTCTCTCTCTCTCTCTGTATGTGTATATGTGTGTCTGTATCTATGTGTCCATGTGTCTGTGTGTGTCTGTGTGTGTGTGTATGTGTATGTGTGTGTTATGGTACAGCTTAAGGATGAGAATTAATGTCACCAGAATTTTGCAAACATATTAGTTTCATAGTATGAAAAAGAAAATGGAAAAGGAAAACAATGAAGTAGTGATAACTGCTCTCATAAAACTATTCATCCAAATACTGATGATGAAAAATAATATTTTGGGGGACTATGGGGATAGTGATGAAACAAAATAGCCAATGAGGACATTCACAGAAGACTACACAGATAGCCTAGGTAAAGTACCAACTAGGAAATATGGAGGATAGTCACAGTGATGGGATTATCCTAGGATTTTATATTCTGAACGAGTTAAAAAAAATTGCTGCAATCATGCCAATGAGAATTTAAATTCCAGAAGAGACCCTTCTAAGGGGTTAATAAAGAAATTCAAAGAGAAAGATCTGACAGAAGTCCTCAGGTTGCTAAAGAGATTGAGATCAACTGGAGCAGGCAACAGGTGTATTTGCTCCAGTCCATGCACTCAAGGGACCGAAGCAATGGCCAGGGATCTAACTCAACAAAAAAAAAAAAAAAGTGTTTTCATGCACACTTGACATTTCTGAGAACCCCAGGGGTCTACAGAATCAAGACTATCTCCATAGTAACACTATAAGGTCATTTGTGTACAAAATGCTGAAGGCACAGCAAACACAACATGTCTGGTTGCCTTCTTTTAAGATGGTATTAAGAAATTTACGAGAGAGAGAGAGAGAGAGAGAGAGAGAGAGAGAGAGAGAGAGAAGACAGAAAGGAAGGAAGGAAGGAAGGAAGGAAGGAAGGAAGGAAGGAAGGAAGGAAGGAAGGAAGGAAGGAAAGAGCAAAAGACTAAAATGCCACAGATTTCTTTAATTCTGAAAATTACATATTTTCTTATTAAAACTACATGTGTTATTAGCCAATGTTTTCACCATTACTAATGAGCTGACATGCTTTTAATTTCTAATGTGGTCAGCACTGCTCACATAACCCACAGAGATATGTTGAAGACCCCAATGACAGAGCAGAGAATGCTTTCAGTCCTGATGTGGGATTCCCCTCTGCATGCTGTGAATATGTTTTATTGCCATGAGTTAATAAAGAGCTGCTTTCAGCCAGTGGCTTAACAGAGGAAAGCTAGGTGGGAAAACTAAACTGTATGCTGGTAGAAAGAAGGCTGAATCAGTAGAAGCCCAGGAGCCCACAAGAAGCCATGTAGCTGCCCAGATCCTTGCTGGTAAGTCACAGCCACGTGGCCAGTGAGTGATACACAGATTAATAGAAATGGGTTAATTTAAGATATAAGAGTTACCCCAAATCTACAGAGAAGCCCTGTCTCAAAAAAAAATAAAAAGAAAACAAAAAAGATGTAAGAATTAGCCAAGCATTATCGAAAATAACAGTTTCTGTGTGTTTATTGTGGGGCCAGGTGGGACAGAAGCCTCCCCCAACACGATCCAAGAAGTTTGTAAATTGACGTAAACAATCAGTGAAGCTTCTAAGGGACATCAGTCACAAGGGTGGTTCATGAGTACCAGACAACTAATGTGGCCAATACCATCAATCTCAGCCAACACTCTTTCTGACTAATATGCAAAACCAATATGCAAAAGATGAGCTTGTCTCAAAAAAAGCATAGATGAGAAAGCCAATATTCCATGCAGGCACCACACAGGCTTGGACTGCCGAACGTTATACCGTTAAAATATCTGTGGGCTTCTGATGTTTCTGGAGATATCCCTTTGTGAGGAAGGACAAGAATACTTCAGTAGAGCACTCTGGCACACTTTTGCAGACAGTGAGCAACTTCCATCCTGTACTTCCAGAGACACGCTGACCATAGAACAAAGGCTTAGAAAGAGTGCCAGGGGCTGGAGAGATGGCTCAGAGGTTAAGAGCACTGGCTGCTCTTCCAGAGGTCCTGAGTTCAATTCCCAGCAACCACATGGTGGCTCACAACCATCTGTACTGAGATCTGGCGCCCTCTTCTGGCGTGCAGGCATACATCGAGGCAGAATGTTGTATACATAATAAATAAATAAATCTTTAAAAAAACAAAACAAAAAATCCTCTTTAAAAAAAAAAAAAAAGAGTGCCAGGCACTACCTTGGAGTTCATTTATCAGTAAAAGAATAGCATTCAAACTGTGGCTCTGCAAGTCGTGAATTTCTCTATCAAGAGAGTTTAGCTATGCTTTGGCAGTTCATGCGAAAGCTCTGAAATTTCAGTGCAATCACTTTGTCCAGCTCGGTCGCATTCCCATCCTTCGCAACTGCTCATGTGTGTGGCACGTAGCAGTTGCTCAGCAAATCCATACCCCACAGAAACTGTCACCCGGCTGACACGACCTCACAGCCAAGGCTTTTCTGTCACACCCACTAAGGACACTCCCCAACAGCACACGGAAGAGTGGATTTACGTAAATCCCATCCAAATTTGGCACTTCCCATCCTTAGATTAACACCTCTCACATAATCATGTATACAACATCCTGGGAAACACACTCTTCCTTCATCCCACCTCCAGGTCCTCCCAGTGTGACAGATGTACTTTACATTCAACCTCTTGAATGCCATCCACACCTCCCCTCCCCACTTTGTCTTCTCTCAGCCTGCTCCTCTGATTTATACTCTATTTTTGGTAGCCTGTATTTAAGATACTTTTGTGGGAGCATCTTTTATTTCTCACCTCCTTATATTGCTCTGAAATAAATTCATAGATTAAAATTGAATTGCTAAATTTCCTATGATTGTATGACATACACAAACATAAGCATTTAGGTGTACATATATGTCTATAAGATAGCTAGAGATATGGAATTATTAATAATCCATGTTGATAAATGCCATAAATCTGTCTAATGAATCTTCAAAATATCTCTTACATTAGTGTCTCTAGTGTTTTTGAAACCTCAAGGCAACGAATGCATTATGGTCAAATTCAGGAGGTCTTAGATATGTGTGCCCTTGTCCCAAAAACCAGGAAAGAATAATAACAAAAGTATCATTCTTTATTTCTTTTCCCAACATCTTTTTAAAACATCCTCGTGACTTGGTTTAGAACCACAGAGAATAACATTTCGGTTTCCCTGTATACAGATGCAGTCAAAAGGTGATCGTGTATGTGAGAATACATGTGAATGTGTGTGCATATGGTGTGAGTGTACACTCACGGGTTAGTTCGCCAAGCATTCATGTGTCTACTAACCCTATTTCAGGAGGAGGCTTTAATAATGCCTAGGAGAGCAACAATAAAAGAGAAACAATCGGTGTATTGTATCTCCCTGATCTAAAAAGATGGGGAAATGATTAAATAAGTCAATGGGTGGAACTAATCCAGTCTGAACAGAGCAGCACTGTCATAGGAGTCAGCGTAGATTTTAAAGGACAAAGTGGATAATTCAATCTCCCCGGAACACTATGTCTCAGCTGAGAGGCTTCCAGAAGCTGTGATAGATTCACATGTGCTCTGTCCCTTCTCCACGACTTGCCCAAACCCTTTCTCTTACTGGTGACTCTGAGAAAGAGACCGACAGTTCAACACCCTGAATAATGTTTTAGGATATATTCAGAAGATATGCCTCATCAACCTGGTTCAGGGAAACATCCAAATCTATACCCATAGCCTCATAATTTCGTGTTATTCTGGGTGTGGCTATACCACTTTATATAGCTCATCTCCTCATGTATCTCCATATCAATACATAACTCTCAAGCCAATATACAGCATTATTGTATCTTCATAAATGTATGCAGTTGTGATGATCTTAAAACATGTTAGATTCCAGCTGCAAAAATAAGAACTTTATACATGGAAAGGCATGTCTTTATCTAATTATTATTACATAGCGTAATAATTCCTCAAAGAAGAGGAAAAGCCCGAATTAGATATAAAAGAGACGCCACGCGCACAAATTTAAGGGGATATCACAAGTTAGAGGACATGAGATTTAGCTTCTTCCCTAAGCATTTAGCTCAGTGTGAGCATCTAGGAATAGAACTTAGGGACATAGCAAATTGAAAGAAAATGTAGGCCATGTTTGAGGCTAGCCAGAGGGAAGAAATCACTCTCTCGAGGTTACAGACACCATGAGAAGCTTCAATGAGGCATACTTTCCCCGCTGTGGGTCTACCTTTATCCAAGAGAAGTTTGCTATCAGTTAATAGCTCAAGCTACTCCTCCGAGAGACAAGGCAGAGAAAGGGTACAGGAAAAGGTGTAAACTCAAAAGAGATTGCAGCCATACAAATTTCGGAGTGATGTGTATATTCCCTGCTCATTTTCTCTCTCTTTAGACTTAAAAAAAATTTCTCGGTACATTAAACTGCAAGTATTTACTACCACATGTATGAACATGTTTATATGTGCACCCTTATGCATGCATCACTTTCAAAACAATTTTATATGAAAATTGAAAAGATTGGGAAGAACGACACAACAGTCTTTGAATATTAAAACTCACGCATACCAAGATACGAGGTATAATAGTCGCTGACCTATCTTCTGAATAATTGCTGCTTAGGTCCAATCTGTTAAAGGGAAAGGAAGCAATAAATTTGACCTTAACTTACCGCACATTTTAATTGCGCAATATTCCCAAGGGGTGTCAGGGTCAAGAGTATAGCACCATGGCCTCGGCTTGCCATCAGGATTGCGGCAATAATTATCATCAAAGCCCTTGTCGGGATATCTGCAAACCACACCAGGAAAAGTGTCACGTAAATCTGCCTGCAAACACCATCCACAGCCCTCGATTCCCAGAATAGCTTTCCACTTAGCCTGGTAGCCAGAGCGTGGAAAAGATGCATTTCCCACCTTTTGCTTTATAGGGTCTGCCAGTCACTAACTGCCCAATTTCATTTACACATTCCACTAAGGATTCAGTATCACCCTCTTTGTTACTAAAGTAGGTCCATTTTGGACCTGTCCCCCAGTTAGGATCGCCAATTGCATCTCTTTTTCCACAGAGTCCAATTAAAGACAAATTTCACAAACATGACCTTGTGTAGAATGTTCATTAAGGGAGCAGGTTCTCTTCTATGGCAGGCTTAAACTTCAAACCGAAGTCCGGTTTCAATAGCTCTGCTGCTAATGACAGCTCAATTTTGGAAATGGAGCCTTGCTAGGTCATGCCCTCCCCTCCACCAGAGCAAGAGACAAACTCCATCACACCACTTTCCCCACATCCCACCTCCCTTTAAATTAGCAGCACCCTGCACTGGTGGTTTGAATTTAATTGCTACCATATCCTTTCTGGTCTCACTTAAAAGAAATGACACACATTTAAAAAAAAATAGAGTTTTCGTTCCATTTACAAGAGCAAAAAGAAGAAACAAACAAAAACATACAGAAAAGTTAAAAAGGCAATTTACACCAATTTCTAAAGGAAGGTGGAGATAGAATAACTATTTGCCTTTCAATCATTTATTATAAAATTAATTCCATTTTGCTTCTTTTTTCCTCAACTGAAAATTTTCACATGACATTTTGGCCATTTTAAAATGCATGAGGCTAAAACAGCCAGAGGATTGTTTTGTGTTGTCTTTCTCTCCACGGTGGACATGAACTGTGCTAAGGTACTAGACATGTGGCCTAATTATCTAAAGATGCTAGAGGAAATTTGGTTGTACTTAGCGATATACTGTCTGCCAAAAGGATGGGTCTATCAAAGTAATCATTATCTCATTAGCCACATTGTACAGTTTGTTTTTTGTTTTGTTTTTATCTGTTTGTTTATTGCTATGGGAAACAAGAGAAGGCTCTGCTACTGCTTTCATTCTGCGTCTTTCTGGCAGTTTTGGTCAACAATCTTCCTTCGTTTAGCAACTCAACTGAAAGGGTAGCTACTGATCTCAAATGTCTAACCATGAACATGTCTTATCACGCCAAGACTACGTTCTGCAGACCCCAACAACTGTAGAAAAGCGAATACCACATTACCTGGCTGTGTGCTATAAAGAAAGGATTTTTCACGGCGGTTTGTTACAAAATGAACAGCAGTATGTAAAGAGAAAGCTATGGGAGCAAGATCTAATGAGATGTTACCTTTCGGGCAAGAATTTGTGCCGGTGAGGTGTCTGATGATCCCAGCGCTGACAGGTCTTGCCGGACTCGGTGTGATCCATAGGACCTCGGTAGCTTTCACCATTGCAGGTCATGCATTCAACTAATAAAATTAAAATATGCTATGTTAATTGTTTCTGGTAGTAAGATCAATGCCATTGTTCTGTTTAGAACAGTAAATTAATCAGTTATTAAAAATTCAATAGCCATACACTCTGTCTTAATTTTAAATTGGGATCTTATGCCCATAAATAGCAACATAAAATAATACCTATGGAATGTACCATGTATTTTATATTATATTTAACTTAATTCCATCCAGATTTAACATAAGGACATAATGCTGCCTACTTTTCGGTAATTATTCAAAAATACATAAAAATTGGAAATATAAGATGGACCCTCGCAGACTGCTCCCCTGTGAACTATGGTGTAAGATCTTAGTGCATGTATCACGAATACACTAGTGGTTCTCACTCCTCTTGCCATCTCTACACACACGCATACGATCTTGGGACTTAAACTAAGCAGGTATTATATATCCATTAAGAATTGACATACTTAAGAGAGCAACCAAACAATTGGTCAGCTACAACTTAAGAACACAAGCTTTTGCACGCAAATTTAAGGTAATTACAGCTCCATTTTGTTAGTAGCAATTCATGCCGAGCATGTGGGCAAGCTAACATTCTTACCTTACGGAAGATGACCTGCTACTGAACTCCATGCGCCCACTCTTTAAAAATGTATAAGCTGATCTAATTATGCAGGATCATACTGATGGCTCTGTGGGTTAATTAATTGTGCACCTCTGGCTGGTCTCAAGTCACACTGAAAACTGAGTCCCATCAACTAGCTGCAAATGAGATTTCTCAAACAGAAGGTTGATTTGTAGCACAGCAAGCATCCTGTGGAATAAATCATGGCATGGCTCTCCTACGAAGCCGTCTGGCTTCCCCAAACACATCATTTGTATCTCGTGAGCACTGATCATCTAACTTTAGCTGGAGTGAGGAAAGATACTAATGTTAAAATTAATTTATCTGCTGGATTCTTGCCTAATAAATATTGGGAGTGTTTCGCTTTGTGACATTAGAATGGTCTCTTCTTCTGAAATGTTTACTTTAATAACATAACGGGACATTCACTGTTAACTGTCTGAATATATGATCCATGTATTGCAGTGCCCATCTACTTTCTTTTCCTATAGGATAGTTCATGAATTAAGACAAAGGACCAATTCTGCTCCTTGCATGTGATGCAAAGATTGCGCAGGATACAGTCACTAGGCACCGGAACTGTGAAGGAGGGTGGCGTCACGAAGAAAGGTGCTCAGTTCAGTCGCTGTCATCCACACCGAAATGTTTCACATGGGTTACAGCTTGTAATAGTTCAGCTTTCATTTGAATGGAACAAGTTTATTTAGTGCTCCCCATTTTTTTAAAGGATGTTAAGCCTTGATATTTTCAAGGAACGTGGCACTGTTCTTGTTGCTTGTTCCTTTGTATTCAGTGAGAAGTAGATTACCTATTCCCTTGTAATGTACAGCTCAAAACTGTTTCTGCAGCTTGTAATAATATAGCTGCCAATTCTAAAATGTAATAGAACTATTTTCTTGGAAGCATTCCTATGGGAATTATTATAAAATATTTTTCGACTTCGAGTTTAGCAGCATTAGGAAAAAGTTGCTACACAGATGAAATTCGTGACTACATGACATGAGTACTTTCCAGAACGAATGTGGGAGATTAATGTGCCTCCACATTAAATTGCATAAAAGTCACCTTCAGCTCTCCTTAACTGTGAAGCCCTTGTTGAGCAGGTTTGGATTGAGTAGCAGTGATAAGGTCTCAGAAGACCCTGATGTTGCTGGCAGCAGAACCCCACCGTGTGATAGGATCAAAACTTCTATGTGTTTGAGGGAATAGCTTTCAGAGACTAGTTTTTCTTGGGTGTTAAAGTATGGATAAAATTTAATAACATATACAGGAACAAATAAGAAGTAAATGGTGGTAATATATAATAAATTTTAAATGTTTAATACCCTTTTATTAGTAGTTCTATGGTTCATGGGTGTATGGAAAAAACTGCTTATTTTGAATTTTTCTTCATTAAAATCCACATAGAACTTAGCTCACTTTGGCTTGAATTTAAAATCTCCCTGTTCAACTCATGATGCCTGAGCATGTTTAGTCAAAAGAGCAAGTGTGCACTCACTTCTAAAGGCTGATTCCGCTGTTATCAGACTTCCAGAAAGCACTTATCTGCACACTTTGTGACACCGTGCATGACAACACCACATGTCTTCCACACCAGTGGACGACGGTCTCCTCTAAGAGATGTTTCATGACCTCAAACTGGTGAAGGATGTTAAGGAATTTCCTCCTAAGCATAGCTAAACACAAGAGTGTCTTAAAAATACTTCTTTTCTAGACTTATATTTGACATCACCCTTGAGAATAAATGTCAATGTGTTTGCAAAAGGGGAGCGAGGAACGAAAATCATATCCCAATAAGAACTAGTAAGGGAATGCAGGAGTCAGGCTGTACAAAGTTTGGACCAAACTACCTGCCCTTCGAAATACTTTCTCAGACCAAACGAAAGCAGTAAATACACTCGCCAATGAGTCTCAATCTCAGAAAATTATGCCTGTGGAGAATTTCCCTAAACGTAGAGGTTTATGTTCATCCGTGTGTAATTTAGAGACCAGTATGCATTACAGACTTATTCATACAAAACAGACTTATTCATAATGTTATCACAGATGCGTTTATTATTTTTAAAAGGAAAGGAAACAATGAGGATGTTGAGGGAACAGAGTATGACAAGGGATGGAGAGGAACAGGTTACAGAGACACACTGTCTAGCACATGAAGTCGAGAGATGCAACTTAACGAATGACAAACATATTCTCCTTCTCCATGACAGTTAGCTAACAACGCCTTTGCTTCCGTGATAAATAGCAACATAATATAAAATAGATATTCATGGAGGATATAGAAAATACTGCATTAATAAACAGGTATGACATCCTACTATAAAAACGGACAGAATTCCAGAGGTCTCTTCCATTCCCCAAGTACTTCAAAATCCTAATAAATCTGAAAATGATTTAATTCATATTTCATCTGGATTTGTGAAATCATAGGAGCTTTGACAGAACTGAAAAACCCAATTAATTCTGTAGTCAAATGACTGAGAGAAATGAAACTGTACACAATGCTAAAATGATCACTGTACCGTCTTGCTGGTCACCCAGCTTTCCAGTGCAAAAGGGAATACAGAACATGTTCACAGTGAGAACACAGTGCAGGAAGTGGCTAAGGTGCTCGCCTTCCAGGCAGCGTGGGACCCCAGTTTGATCTTTTCAAACACTGTTTTGAATGGCACTGAGTTGCAGACATGCCTCACGCGTGGTTGCAGTCACCCCCAAAATAAATTGGAAATTTGTGTTTGGGGGAACCCCGGCATATTGTCTCTTGAATCTATCCAGTATGGGCTGTGTGGCTTCAAAACAGCCTTAACCACATTTCTTCAGAAACAGGGGCTGGATGAAAAGCACCAGGACTATCAATCAAAGACAGTTTTATCTAGGGCAGTGGTTCTCAACCTTCCTAATGCCTCAGCCCTTTAACACAGTTCCCCATGGTGTGGCGACCCCTAACCACAAAATTATTTTGCTGCCATTTCATAACTGTCATTTTGCTACTGTTATGAATCGTCATGTAAATATCTGATATGCAGGACTTTCTGATACATGACCCCCAAAGGTTGGCCTAGAGTCTAGGTCCTCTCAGGGGGTCCATGGTAGCAGAATCAGAGGTAGGCGAGCTTCAGTGAACAAGTAAATGCCCACTGTTCCTTTTCACAGAAGATTGTTCCAGGTTGGTGTAATTCACATTGGTAACTGGCACTGTTACCTTGCATGAATCTGCTGAAGCCCCAAGTTTGTGGTATGTTGTGAGAAAACGCTCCCATTGCTATCTATGCTTGCACTTGAATGAACAGCGTATTCATTGTAACTGATTCATTGCTGTTAATCTTTAAGGTGAATTACAGTTCTATACACGGGGGGCAGGTAGTGCCCCACGTGGTATTCAGGTTCATTTACCTTCTGAACACTGAGGAATGTCACAGACTTCGTAGCGTACCTCTGGATTGCTTGTGAAACACCAGGGTCCCCCTTCTTCCCCTCGAGGATTTCGACAGTAGTTTTCCTGTAGGTCTTTATCGCGATAGCTCGAAGGCAAAAAGCTAGTTTTAAAATGATAATCATCACAGTATAAGAGCATGCAACATTAGTATGGGCCTATTAATTATACTAGTTACTGGGTATACTTTCCCCAAAAGTAGAGAAACATCTACTCATGTAATTTAGCATGTACTTTAATTTTGCTATTTCCAATATGCTTAAATACTTGAATTTTATCAAAATTTACCTAACTGAACTATCTGTATCCCACATCAAATCAGTAACTACTAGCCTTTGAATTTCCTCAAGCCCAAATATTCTGAAATATAATCGTGTTTTAGAAAATACAATTTCAACACTCCAAATCACAGGTAACAATTTCTCTGACTTAGAAAAACTTAAGCCACCATCTCTGCAGTTGACTTCTTTTTTTAAAATATATATTTATTTATTTATTATGTATACAATATTCTGTCTGTGTGTATGTCTGATGGCCAGAAGAGGGCACCAGACCTCATTACAGATGGTTGTGAGCCACCATGTGGTTGCCAGGAATTGAACTCAGGACCTCTGGAAGAACAGGCAATGCTCTTAACCACTGAGCCATCTCTCCAGGCCTCTGCAGTTGACTTCTAGATCTCACCTTGCACTGCTTATCCAGGGTCATCATCTGCTTATATACTGCTTTCCTTAGGAGGGAAATCTCTCTCTCTCTCTCTCTCTCTCTCTCTCTCTCTCTCTCTCTCTCTCTCTCTCACACACACACACACACACACACACACACAATACACACAAACACACCTTGTTTCTTCACAGTTGAGGAAAAGGTTGATGACATAGCATGAGCCAAGCATCCAGGATCAAAATAAGCCCGGGGAGCCATCTTCAACTCTTTCTCATACCAACTGTGAGGTCCCAGCAATATAAGTTAAGCCCTCTGAACCATTTGCTCAGTAATCCACTAAGAACCCAGCACTTAAAAGAACTTAGATCTCATATGGCTGCTTTGAGAACTTCATGGAGATGATGAGACACTTGACAAATGACACCAACAATTAAGAGACCCAACTCATTGTCAGTGCCGTAACAAGGAAGCCGATGGCTTATTCTCTTCCCAAGGTTTGATAACAATGGCTGAGATTGAGATTTGGTGTTCTCAGTTTTAGTCATTGGGTATATTGAGATCAATTTAATAGCTTTGCCAAAAATATCTAAAGATGTAGTGGCAGTCTGTGACCTAGAAGAATACTCCAGCAAGAGAAAAGGAGAAAGCAGTCTCTGTAATGCTTATAGTAGTGGATCCTTATTTGTTCACTACAAAGCCTCACAACAGAAGACCATTCTTCAATAGGCAATGCCAGTAAAAACATTTCAACCCAGTCACAAGTTTAGTAGTTAACTGGGCTTTTGCTAAAAGATGTCTCTACATTTATTGGCCTCACTTCTGTGCATGAATACAAGTTATAAAGATCTAAGTCTCGCATTAAATATGATTCAAATGAATTTTCTATCCAGCGACATGAGAGTTGGGAAGCAGATAGGCTAATTATCCAGGGCTGGTCTGCGACATGAATCGAAAGATCAATCACCACATTTAAAGTTATTATGTACTAAGCAAAAAGGAAAATGAGAGAAATCGTTTTAAAAATAACGATGTTATACCACAGAATGATTACTGGCAGGCATCCTGTTCCAAGCAACATTTCACAATAGAAAGTTTTGTCTGAGCATGAAGGAATGCCACAGTCAGGCCTTCAAAAGACATAAACTGGTGCTCAAAAATTAAATAGCCAATCTAAGACATTACTAAACATAGGCAAGGAACCAAACTAGCATTGTAAGAATTAAGCAATTGCAAGGTGTAGCTCCACAAAGTGTTCGTATCCTTACTTCGCCAGCATTTTAAATAAAGGAAATAGAAATAAGACATTAGGTCATGTGACTGATGGAAGTTATAATGCAATTAAAGGTAATTATAATTTTAAAGCCTTCACAAGAATCGATTTTGAAAAGTAAACCATTATCTTTTCCTAGTTGTAGTCCCGCCATTCTAGAATTTTGTGTCTGTGTCCTGGGTTTGTAATATTGTCTGAAATATATTTTCTTTCATTGATTAGCACTTCTCCAAATTTACATAGTAAATTTATAACAAAATACCTCTCTGTCAGAAATAAAACTGATTTTCACTTTATATATTTGATGAAGTAACTCATCAACTACATTTACTTAAGAAGTCTATTGTAAATTTACATTAGGAAAAGGCAGTGGTAATATTAGTTATGAGCCATCACTGTATCATACATACTTATCACCTGGTTGGTGTGGGAATGATGCTCCCCAGACAATTATTTAGTTAGTTACAGGTTTGTCAAGAGAACAATATCATACTGAAGACACTAGTGATTTCAGAGAACTGGATGAGGGGAGGTGGGAAGGATCTGCCTGGGAGGGGAGGCGGGGAAGAACTGAGAGAAGGGTATTCCATAATCAGGATGTAAGAAAAAAATATCTGTTTTCAATTGAAGGAAAAAAGTTTCAAATCGTAAAATAAAATTGCCCAGTATAACCAAAGAAGGAAGAGATTTTAGAAAGTGTTCTTTTAAAAGTAGAAAGTAGCTGGAGGATGGGTGGAGGGAAAGAGAGAAGGGGACGGGGGAGGAACACGGCCAAAAGAAGAAAAAAATTCTCACTGGAGTTAAAGTCAGAAAGTGAAGAGAAAAGATGTTCTTGTTTTTATAATTATGAGTCAATTGACATCAAATTCCTCTTTGGGTCATAGAGGTTAAAGAGCTTCCCATTTCTTTATTTGGTGATTTTGACCTTCCCCCAAGCTAGCTGGCTTTCTTTTGTGTCACAAGGTGTTCAGGCTGATCAAGCTCAACATCCCACACTTGGTCAGGGTATGAAGCCTCACCCGCCCTTTCACTTATAGGTGTTCATTAGATGAATGTTTATGAGAACTCGTTACACAAAAGGCCTGTGCCAGCCTGTGGGGTCTGTACTGAGCTGTTACTCACACAGATACTATTTTTATCTCTGTCCTTGCTGTTAGCAAAGTTTAAGAGAGATAAGTGAAGAAATATTTAAAACTGGGTTATGTCCAAATATACTCTAAACCATAAACTAGGTCTTCTGGGTGCTAGCCTCCCTCTTTTTTTTTCTTTTTAATATAAACTGTGTTCATCAAAAACTTGATCTATTCTATCATCTGCTTCATTAGTGAATGCTAGGAAGCCAGTGATGGATATAGACGTAGATATCGGGTCACCTGACTCTCTGTGAAGCTTTTGTACTAATTTCAACATCTATCATCATCTTTCCATTAAGCCATTTGTAAAATATTTCAGTTTAGAAAGTCAACAATAAATCACTCTGCTAGACAAAAACATATTTCTTTTTTAAATTAAACTTTAGTTACCACCTCATTTTACAGAGTTAGGCTATCATGAAGCTAGCCCCCCAAAACTGCTAATTGATGGAAATTAACTATTGTTTTCCTTAAACAAAAGGGAATTTGGATAATATATAAGATGCCTATGTTCCTTGGCACAATATCTACTTGGATAGGAAAGCCAGTTCCCAGGGAGATTCATTTCACATTTACTCCTCGAGCAGAGAATGACAATCATAGAGAATTCGGGTTAAAATAAAACCTCAACTGAGTCTAGAACTCTCCTGGTCTAAGGCTGGATTGATTTTGATCGGATTTCTTTGCTAGTGAAAAGTTAGGTCTAACTATCAACCAATGAGTTTTCTTCAGTATGCACACAGGGAGAACAAAATTCATTTTATTATTTCTGATCTAGAGGCAATATCATGTTTTAGAGGCATTCTTTTAAAACTGTTGTAAATTACTTCGGAAAATCGTCGTTTCCTTTTATTGAAATACTACTACCGACTCGATCATCTTGGACAGTCACTAGCTAGGGTTCGTCAGGCAAAGTCCCAAGGTTTCATTACAGCATTGGACAACCTAACTTTTATATTATACTTCAGTTAGTTAACTCATATATGTTTGCTAAAAAAAAAATCAATCTTGCAAGCATATGCTTTTCAAAAGTAGAAAGGAACTGGAGGTTGGAGGGGAGGAAGAGGGAGGGGAAGGGGAATAAGAACATGGGGGAACCGGATGGGTCAGTTTGCGGGAGGGACGGAGAGGGAGAGCAATGAAAGATATCTTGGTAGAGGGAGACCTTATGGGGTTAGGGAGAAACCTGGGGCCAGGGAAACACTCAGGAATCCAAACGGATGACTCCTAGCAATAGGGGAGAGGGTGCCTGAACTGGCCTTCCCCTGTAATCAGACCGGTGACTACCCTAACTGTCATCATAGAACCTTCATCTAATATGATGCGCATCAGATGGAAGCAGACCCAGAGATCCACAGCCTAGCACTGGGTCGAGCTCCTGGAGTCCAAGTGAAGACAGGGAGGAATAATTATATGACCAAGGTGGGGTCAAGATCATAATAGGGAAACCCACAAAGACGGCTGACCTGAGCTAGTGGGAACTCACGGACTCTCGGCTGACAGCAGAGACCAAACTATGCACTTTGCCTGGGACCAAACTATGCACTTTGAATGTGGGTGACAGTTCTGTGGCTTGGTCTTTTTGTGGGGTCGCTGGCAGTGGGACCAGGTTTTATCCCTGGAGCGTGAACTGGCTTTTTGGAGTCCACTGCCTAAGGTGGTATATTACGGGGCCTTGATACAGAGGAGAGGGGCTTGGTCCTGCCTCTACTTGAAATCCTAGGTTTTGTTGACTCCCCATGGGAGGCCTTACCCTCTTTGAGGAGTGGATGGGAGGTAAAGGGAGAGGTGAGTAGGAGTAGGAAGAGAAGAGAGAGAGGGAACTGTGGTTGTTGTGTAAAATGCATAAAAAATTTTGATGTAGAAAGGATTGAAATGTGTATTCATCAAGGGAAAGACATCACATTTTGCTGTTACAGACATGTCAGAAAGCACATACTACAGGGAGACTCACGATCTCACGCTGGAGGGTTGCTGCATATTCTGGGTTCCCTGTGAAACTGCCTTGAAAACACTAGACTGTTTGGGATACGTTTGCACCACATAACTAGGAACATAAAGCCATGTGCTGTGTTATTAGTCTAAGGAATAAATGAAAAAAAATCAGGTTAACTATCTACCGGGTTAACTGTCTAACATGGTAAACTTAAGCCTCGACTGAAGTTTCTAACCAGATAGAGCTGTTTCAAACTAGTTTTTATTGAGACTATTTGTGAAATAGGTCTGGACATTTGATTATCTGGTGCATATGAAATGTTGATGTTTTTCCTCCATGATGATCAAAATCTCATAAGCCTATGAATATTATCTTTATTGATCTTTAAATACTTTTCTTATACAATAGTAAATAAAGTTTTCTCCAGTGTAGATATGTAATGTGGAAGAAAAGTGTTTCTCATGACTTTAGCAACAGGTGGCATAAGGACCAGCAAGCCAGTTAATCTGTGGCAAGAGAGCTTTGACTAATGGGCTCCAGTGTCTTGTGCCCTTCAGAACCAATTGAGGACCACTATCGCCACCCCTACTCTGAAGGATCTAGTTCAGTCGATCTGTTTGTAACTTTGGTGGTGGGACATTCCAAGGTTTGCAGTGAGTCATTTTAACTTGCAGCCAAAGCCGAGATCTACCAAGGTTTAAACACACCTTTTGTGAGGTCTAAATCATGGATTCCCGTGAATTCAAAGTACCCTCTCAAAGGCAAAAAGCAGAGAGAATCATTTTCAATAACAAATTGAGACACTGCAGTTAAAAAAAAGTGCTAGGCCATATTTAAATAATAAATTTGTGAATCTTTCGATGGCTCAATAATAATCTGTGTAAGTTTTGGCCTTGTGCAGGTCAGCAAACTGACTGAGCGATGGTGGCAGGCTATGCTATCCTGAGGACTAACGAGTAACTAACTGTTCACATGCAGACAGGCAAGCTTGCTTCCTCTTTTCCCCATGCTGTTCTTACCTGTGCTCATGGGGGATCATGGAACTCCAAGGCTGACACTTGATGCCACTCTTGGTGATGGATACTGTCCCCTTGTAGCTGCTTCCTTTGCCAATGATGCAGTTTCTAATATAGTCTATTGATTAACAGAGAGGGGGAAAATGGTTAGAACTCTGTGAAGCACGTGCTGTACTCGCTGGAGAGGAAAAATAAGAATCCACTTATGCACGTGAGTCATTGACTGATGCAAACCGTTTCCAGCGATACTGAAAAGTCTTGCATAAAGCTGGTACTAGTGTTTTAAAAGTAGGAAAGCAAAGCAGGCAAGTCAAGCAGTCATATGTTTTAATTTTGAGTGTATAATAGAAGCTAACCACAGAGATCATTCTTCATCCTTTTATTGAATGAGTTTACAAACTCTGCTGGGTAGACCACTGTGACTTGATGAATAAATACACCTAAGTAAATATTAAAAACACAACTTAGGTGACTTCCAGAATCTAGTTTAAATTCTGAAATAAAATATAAGAAAGTGAAAGTGATTTGTCTTTCCTAGCTCGGCAAAGTCGTGTGGGTTTGTTTGGTTTCGCGGTTGTTGTTACCTCTCTGTGTGTGTATTTGTGTGGTGGCGAGAAATAACTACGCTGGTCAATTATCATTCTGCACTTTTAAATAACATCAGCTTCTAGCACAGGGAACTGAATTCTAAACAGGAGCATGTGAGTTTTAGACAAGAGGATTTGCAGCTGGTCAACTGGAGGAAGACTGAATAGAGGGACTTCCTGTTTGGTCACAAATTAGACTTCAGATATGTAAAATTATTAGGATATGTAAAAATTGTTCTGTTTCTTACTATTGGCTTTTACTTAAAGATCCAGTAAATTGACATAGAGGTGTCTATATTTGGCATCAATATTCTAATTCAAGGCTATAATAGGTTCTTACAAAAAATTAATAAAATAAGGATCATTTCATAAGTTCAATTAATAATTTTCATGTCACATAATGAAATATTTAACCTGTTAAAAGCATATCTAATATTCTATAGTTATCTCATTGGTATATTTTTGCTTTTAATCAGTGTAAATATTTACATATTATATCATATATAATTTCACATAATAGACAAATTAACAATTTCAATTGTTCAATTAAATAATTTTAAAGCATGCATACATGAACTCAACCTATTTGCCCCAAATCTTCGTGCCAACCGCCATTATGATGAGCCACACAAAGTAGTTAGAATTGAAAATACTACCTTACTCTTAAAATTTGCCACAATAGAGGGTATGCTGATCTCATAACCTAAATGACTCATCAGAAAATGAATGTAGAAAAAACAAGCTAAGGAGGAAGAGAGATAATTAAAAGAAATCTGGGAAGCACAGCCTTTTGTCTAACGCGGTGTCCCAACAATCATAGTCAAGGCACCAGGTTCTTCTGCCTTAATCAGCAACTGACTGGGTCACAGATCAGAACCTGACCAGGACACCAGCAGGGAAGACACAGTGGCAAGAAAATGCAAGTGTAGAGATTACCCTTCATTTCATCATGTAGTGCTTAGAAAGAAGGCCATTACCTTTGTTTTCATAGAGGTCAAACTCATGGCCAAATCCCTTCTTCACTCCACTTGACATACTATTGAAAGGGAACCAGTGGCATCGTTTTTTTGTCTTATCAAAAACAAAGGCCCTGAAAAAGACAGCTGAGTGAAAAGAAAGAATAGCACAATTCAACAGTTTTGGTTTTCGTTCTTAATGGGCACATGGTTTACCAAGGAGGATATACAGAATGGGGCATTATTGCATATTAAAATACAGTGGTGTGTGTGTGTGTGTGTGTGTGTTCCTAATTTTGATGGAACAAATAGGAAAAACAAAACAAAGATTTTTTTAGGTATCAATTAGAAAACCAGATCAACACTCTGTGGAAAGTTTTGAATTTAATCACAATGACTTGTAGAAAAACTGAAGATCCCAAAATTGCATACAACAACTACCTAGATGATTTCTGAAGACTTTTAATAGTTTTGTAAGTGTCCAGTTAGTTAGAAGGTTTTAGTTATATGCAAGTGATTGCATTTGCATATCATCATTAGCATGCAAAGCTTATAATATACAAATATTTTCTTAAAATAACACATCCCCTGGGCCTGATGATGTAGCTCTTGTCCAACTACAGGGATGCTGAGATTGGAGAAATATACTGAAAGCCTATATAGACTACAGAGTAAGTTCAAGGCAGACATGAACAGTTTTGCAAGACCCTGGCTCAAAACAAAACAAAATATATAAAATAGCTAGGAATATAGGTCAGTAGAATTCATGTCCTAGCATGGATAGAGATTTAGATGTCCCCCTCAGTCTTGCAATACAAAACCTAGAATGATTAGGTGCATTAGGCTGAGCCCCCAGGCTCCTGGAACAGGTAGCTTTGCGCTGTTCTTACACTCGGTCAAGGAAGTTTCTTATCAAAGTAGACAGTGCTTAATGCACAGACTTGTGACCGCTGAAGTACTGAGAACAGTAACTGTAGGAACCTGGCCCCCTCACAGCTCAAAGAACATTCTAGAGAAGGGGGAAGAAAGAATGTAAGAGCTGAGAGATGGGGAGGTGTACTGTGAAATAATGCCAGCCCTGGACATAACCTGGCCGTTCCACATAGCAATTCACAGCAGCTCTTGCTGCCCACACAAGACCAAGCCAGTTGAAAACTCCAGCATCGAATGATGACCGGCTCCTGAGGAACTATGGCCAGCTGATGGCTGCTAAGGGAGAAAGGGTCACTTTTCTTTCAGGGGTATGGCCACTAGTAGATTGCCTATGCTTCACCGGACGATCCAAAGTCATGCACAGATAAGTACCACGAATTGAACTCAGTGGGCAGTTTTTAAAATTGATTTTTATGGCGCTCTACATTTTTCTCTGCTCCCCTCCCCTACAACCCTCTCCCAAGGTCCCCATGTTCCCAATTTACTTAGAAGATCTTGTCTTTTTCTACTTCCCATGTAGATTAGATCCATGTGTGTCTCTCTTAGAGTCCTTATTCTAGTCTAGGTTCTCTGGGATTGTGATTTGTAGGCTGGTTTTCTTTGCTTTATGTTTAAAAGCCACTTATAAGTGAGTACATATGATAATTGTCTTTCTGAGTCAGGGTGACCTCACTCAAAATGTTGTTTTCTAGCTCCATCCATTTGCCTGCAAATTTTAAGATGTCATTATTTTTTTCCGCTGTGTAGTACTCCATTGTGTAAATGCATCACATTTTACTTATCCATTTTTTGGTCAAAGTTGTTTCCAAATTTTGGCTATGACAAACAGTGCTGCCATGAACATAGTTGAGCACATGTCCTTATGGCACGATTGAACATCCTTTGGATATATACCCAAAAGTGGTATTGCTGGGTCTTAAGGAAGGTTGTTTCCTAATTTTCTGAGAAATCATCATGCTGATATCTAAAGGGGCTACATCAGTTTGCAGTCCCACTAGCAATGCAGGAGTGTACCCTTTACCCCACATCTTTTCCAGCACAAGCTGTCATCAGTGTTTTTGATCATGGCCATTCTTACAGGTGTAAGATGGAACCTCAGACTTGTTTGGTTTGCATTTCTCCGATGTCTAAGGATGTTTACAATTTCCTTAAGTGTCTTTCAGTGGGCACTTAAAAAAAAAAAAAAGGACATGAATTTTAGAGCAAGATGTATTGGGGGGCCTGAGAAGAGTTTGAAGCACTGGGGACTGGACGTGACTGAGATATATTCTAACCATACAAGAAATTCTTGAGGAAAAAAAACTGTATTAGGCAAGTCACCAAGCCCAAATAGTGTCTTAAAAAAGAAGAATCTGAGTGAAATGTTTGGAAACTGTCATATAATATCCTTGTTTGGGGAGCTATCAAATGTAAAATTTACTAAATAGAATGGACATCTAACTATAAGGTTATTCTAAGTCAATACTCCCAAAATAAGTTTATCATATACATTTTATTTCAAAACTATTAACATTAGACAATACAATTTAATTCATACTCTTATGGAAGACATGTGTCCCATTATCCCTGCAGCTAATATACTGCTTTTCACATTGCTTACTAAAAGTATTAACTAAAACAAATTGATAAATACCGCAAAATACTTTAGATTTTTCTTAAGGTAATTTCAGTCAGAAAACTAGTTTTGATTTCCAATGTATAGAACCTTTCCTTCCTCCGATTATAACAGCATAGGCTCTTTATGGTATTCCTTTATGTGAAGTGTGTGGGACCATCACATTCCCGGTGTTGAATTTTTCTCTAAATTTACCTCATCCTTATCTTCAAGCTCTCCATTAAATATTCACAATGAAATGTGCTTCTTCTATTGCTTTTCCCCTACATTGCAACTCTGAGGAGAGAAGACCCAACGCCAGCCCAGTTGCCAATAGAACATCTCCATAGATTCATGCACCTCGAACGCTGATTGAGAGTAATCTTTCCTGCTTTATTTCCCCCAATCTCGAGGCTTATACAGAAAAGTCAGACTGAAACCCAGTTATCCTAGGGACAAGTTTACAAATCCAGTTCCCATTGTAGTTGCCAGGAAATGTCTTCCTGGGAGTGGCAGCTGGCTTTGCAAACACAGAAGAGATAGTCTTTCCTCTGCCCAAGTCTGCTGAAGACCTTCTGTGATCATGTCCTGCCCTACGGGCCCATAATCCTCATTTCTCTGAGGCAGCAAACACTAAATGGAAACCGCTCACATGACACCACTGAATTCTGTATCCTCGTAAAAGGCCACTGTCAAAACGCATAATATGCAAGAATTGAACATTCATAGAATGTCTTCAAAAATATCATATTTAATACCATCTATAAAATGTGTTCCAAGCAGGCACACCAACACTGAGCTACATCCCAGCCACATCATCTTTTATTAATGATTTATTTATTATCAGATTATATGGGTGTGCTCAAGGGAATTAATGTGCACCACATGTGTGCAGATGTCTCTGGAGGCCAGTACAGGACATCAGATACCCTGGAACTGGTACAGGTGTCAGGTTGGGGGGGGGGGAGGCTTAGGGAAGTCCCTTATATGGGTTCTAGGAACCAACCAGGTCCTCTGCAAAAGCAGCAAGTACCCTTAACCACCAAACCATCTCTTCAGCACCCAGTGTTTTTTTTTTTTAAGAGACACTAGAAAAGAAACCAACAAAACACATTTTTAAGTATGGTGCATTTGTGTGTGTGTGTGTGTGTGTGTGTGTGTGTGTGTGTGTGTGTGCCTTTGTAACCCAGGCTAGTCTTGAACTTGAAATGACCAACTTCCTCATTTGGGGATTCTAAGAGTGCACCACTACACCTTGCTCAGGAAATCAATGTTGTTACTGCCATTTCGGATGAAATTTCCACCTTGTTATTTCAAGGTTGTAAGCTTTCGCCTTTGAGATCACTGGCAAGGCAATGGGAATTCTTAGTGAGAAGGGGGCTGTCAAAAGATAAGACCCTCTTTACTTGAAGCCACTGGAGCCTCGGAATGGCTCCGCCCCTCTCCGCCATAGCTTTATCATCACCTCCCCAACTTCTGTGAAGCAGTCTGGGCTGCTGACACCAGTCGCTCTAGGGTTATAGGAGTCTATCAACACTTTTTATTGAAATCCCTACAGAGATGATAGAAGTTTCAGGAAATTTTGGCTGTTGCCCAGTTCCTACCCAGAAAATCCTTGCAGTGTTCTGCTACAGAAGAAAACAAGACACACAATAAAATAAAATAAAAGAGAGAGAGAGAGAGATAAAATTCAGTCCAGTTGAATTTTCGCTCCATGTTAATTGTTCAAAATACATAGCCAATGCAACTGTTTACTTTGAAAGGCAGTTTACAGAGCTGCACATGCTCATTCAGTTTCCACCGGCTGAGAGCTCAGTCTGCTATTGTAATGAGTTAAAGCTAGGCTCAAACTTACTCTAAAGGACCCATTGCATTGACTAGCAAAAAGGAAGAGAAAATATGATCATTACATACTTACTTTATTTGAAAATTATTCAATAAAGAAAATGAAGAGGCTTACTTGCAAGTGAACGGAAGTCCCTTATTCCTGATACATCTGTTGGCGCACTCATCCGCTGAGTTCATTTTTTTGGTTTTAATCTTCAATAATGGGTCTTCCTTGGTGAGAGTAGTCTTTGCTGACTTTTTGAATTCATGAAGTGTATTTCTTCTTTTCTTCTGTCCTTCTATTAATGCAAAAATTAAATAGTTCAACATGAAAGAAAGGTTTTTTTAATATTTATAGAGGGGGAAATGTCTTAAGGAACATCTTCAAAATAATGATTTTGTAGAACAACATAGCATACCTCTAGGGGGTGGACAGAGTTGGATGAGGATGTGTAGGAGAAAGAGAGAAGAACATTATAATTATGTAAAAACAGATAGTTGCTATATAAATCCACTAATCTACATCCTTTCAAATGAAGAATGCATTGAAAAATTAGGACAAAGTTCACCCCAAAGAATAAACAACTTTAAAGAATAATTATTTCAAAATTAGGACAAAGCTCACCCTAAAGAGATGATGTTCTCCAGACAACACAGAATGAAACATGGTTGCCAGAGGCACATAGATGCTTCGTAATTAAACTGTTCATTCTCCTCTCAGTGGTTCCTTATAGAAGCCACACTGCTAACTAGGTAAATCTATCCAAAGGCAAGTGAGAAACTTCTCACTAAAAACTGCACTGTACAAATTCTTCAGACTTGTTCTTTAAGTGCTTCATACTATACTATACGTATTTTAGCCCCTCTCTTCTTGGTTTTGTGCAAAAAGAATGTATTCCGTGTTTGGGACACTATTTCTCAATTTCATGAAACAATTTGTATTGAGAGCAATCCAAACACTGTAAATCAAATGTCTGTCAAGTTTTATCCTTTAATGTAGCGATACCAATTTTCTTCATGAAGGGGCAAGAACTCTAGAGAGCATGAAACTTACTATAAACCTGAAAAACTGAACCAACAATTCATAAAGATCTTAAATTTATGTATAATTTGAAAGTAATAAGAACTTATCCCTTCATTCTTTTTTGTTTGTTTGTTTGTTTGCTTTTCAAGACAGGGTTTCTCTGTGTAGCTTTGGTGCCTGTCCTGGAACTCCCTCTGTAATCCAGGCTGGCCTTGAACTCAAAGAGATCCACCTGCCTCTGCCTCCACGGTTCTGGGATTAAAGGTTTGGGCCACCACCGCCAAGCTTACTGCTTCATTCTTAATTTCCCAAAAGTACCCCATTATAATACTGTTCAAACTAATTTGCACCAATCACCTATTAGACCACAGCGATTGCGATACAAGTGTGGGACCATGCACATCTGCACATCCACTAAGTTAATAGCCCTTAAGACAATGGCAGTTTAATACATTCATTTTTAGCTGGAGGTAAGTAAAGACATAGGGAGAAATGAACTGAGCGTTTCAAAGACCTCAGACTGGAAAAGCGGAGGCCCAGCTTCAAAGCTAGCACCCGGAACCATTCACACAGCCATCTTTTATCTAAGAATTGCTAAGAATGTATGGGGACATGGGATTTGTAAACATTTCCTGAAGATTTGGTTCAGAGCTATCAGCTGAAGAGAAGCTTGGATGCTGCCACAGGAAATGAATTCCTTCTCCTTAAATGTTGGGAAGTATGTCAGGAAAAAAGGGTGAAGCTTTCTGTTCGGGAAAGTTGGGGAGATGGTTCCCGGAGTGCAGTGCCAAGCATGGCATCATCCGGTTTTCCAGGAACAACTGGCACCGGTCAGTTGGCTAAGGATGCAGATGCTGCACTTTAATGGCTATCTTAACCTGAAGTCAACAATAAATGAGAGAAAACACGCACTTCTCCAAGGTCTGAGTTCTTTGCAAAACTCCAGAACACAGACACTAACAGACTGGTACTAACCCCTGCAGTAATGCTGTCCCTTGGGCTATAAGATGATGTCAGAGCTTTTGTTTAAACAAAACCTTGATACATAAAGTCAATCAAATAATCTATTAGTATGTTATTTCATGAAATTGGGGTCAAAATTCCTTGCATAACATTGACAGACAGCTGAAGCTGGAATTATTACTGACTTGCCAATTGACTTTGTGTAATTACATGAAGTTTTAAGATACTGATTGTTCAGTCTATAAATAAAAAAGCTAAATTAATCAATAGAGCTGTTTGAGCTATATTCATTAAGTAAATATTATGAATACAATTAGGAATTGCAATGAAATGGGTTTTTTTAGAGTTCTGGTATTATTTTTGAAATTTTGTCATTTAATTTCTGACACAACTGTTATTCTTACAAGAAAGAAAGTCATGATACTGGCAGATTGACATTCCTATCATTGACTCTTGTTAATGAGAGATAATTTTTTCATTATGAGTTTCTCTTTCTGTGGCCTTATTTCACTACTTCTTTGGTGCTCCTAAATATTTCATACCATAAAGATAATTTAAGTTTCCTTATAAGTTTAAGCATTTCCTGTAAGTGGTAGAAGCTTACATTGAGCAATATTTGTTTTAAAAATAGCTTCTGTCAAAATTAACCATATATATACACACATATATATACTATACCTATATATAACACACATATATAGGTATAATGTATATGTATATATATATAAATTTTCCAACTAAGAATATAGCATTGTTCTTATGTACAATGTGCTTTTGTATGTGTCTAAGCGTATTAAAAACACAAAAGTAATTTCAAAATAGCTTTGATAAGCATTAAGTTCCTAAGGCATTTATTTTAGTAATTATCAATCCGAACAGAGCCGCTGGCCAACGCTATAAAAGAGGGAAGACTGATCTGTGGAAAGGAGGCGCTGATTAACTTTACAGACCCTCAGTTGTCCTACTGAACTGGGTCAGTGCATGAATTGGCCTCATAAAACCAGCTACTCTCGCTTGCTAGGAGAGGTTGCCTGACTACAGATCAAAAAGCGTCCTGAAAACTAAGCAAATCCATAATCTCGCTCTCCTGTGTGATATAGCAGCCCCAGAGCTTCAGTGTCAATAAGAACCGATCAGAACCAGATACCAGGAGTCCCCTGAAACTGGAATGCCCGAACTTCCCCTCAGAACTCAGTCTCTAGACTAGATCACTCACTAATTATTCCAGAATATGAAGTTCAAAGTGTGTAGACATCATTAACTTCTTGCGTCTATAAAATTAATTACTTCTTCAATAAGAGAAAAAAAGGCAAAACAGAAGCCACTCAAAATCAGCATTTGAAAATGGAATTCCTTTGCTGGAAATAGATTTCACTGCCTCTTCCACATGTAGCAACTGATGCTTGTTTTACTGAAAACAATTAAAAAGCCAAGCTTAACCTGGGGAGGGTGGGGACTCAAAATACGTTTGGAACAGTTTTTTTTTTTTTTTTTTTTTTTTTTTGCCTACTATTTTTTGATTGTGTCTGTTAAAGTTCAAAAAGGAAATACTGAAGTGGAATCAAAGGGTAAGAGAGCTCTACAAATATGTCTGCTTTCCTGTATTTTCAATTCTGCTCCTTTCTCTTTTCCCAGCTTAGGGAAATATTCTGGAAGGTACATTTCCTGCACAACCTGAAGTCCCTGTTTTAGAACCGAGATCACGAGGATCCTGGTGGAAACCTGCGCACAGAAAGCAGCGTCAAGCATATGAAGTAGACACAGAAAGATGCCTTTCTCCCACGGCCCCTGGGCCCAAAGCTCATTTCTCTCAGTACCTCATATATTTCCTTCTGTGTGGAAGAACAGTGGACTTCAAAGGCAAGCCAGGCCAAGGAAGGATTTGCGGGGTGTGGAAAGAGCAGGAGCCTGGCTCCCCGTAACTGAAGAAAACTACCCACATGATTAGTGATTAACAGTTTGAACTGGCAAGACGTTAAGATGAAAGTGTACAAAGAATTGATGGGGGCAATGGCTGCGCTTAGAGAATTTTAACTCCTAAAGACAGGGGTCACAAAAAGAAGTCACACTTTCCACTGTTACTGTCTAGGACTCAGACTTCACTCTTTGACATCAATATGCTCCCTCTTTTTGGAGGAGCTAATCTCGTGGTAAATAAAGACAGTGAGAATCAAGAGCTTAGACTGAGTATTGGTGGCAGAGAAGCAACGTGAAATCTCCTGAAGACTTGCTGGACAGAGTGCTCAAGGTAAGCATGGGTGTCTCCCCTTCTTTCTACTTGCTTTCTGGGACTCCGCGTTATAGATGTCCTGCCCTGATCTCCTTCGCCTCTGCCCCCCTCTGGCTGCAACTCCCTTCTACAGAGCAAGTAAAGTAACCACATTGAAGTGCAGCTATTTGTGTCCTGTGCATGCAAAATTTTCACTTGCTCCCTCCGATGGTTTCGCATGACATACAAGGCTGTCTTACTGTCCCATCTTCCCTTTCCAACCACAGGCTATACTCCCACTAGGAACGCAGTATGCCAGCCCTTAGAATTGATCTTCCCTTGCTGTCTATAAGTCTTTCTGAAGCATCTCTTACACTTTCTTACCTCTGGGATTCAGGCAACTCCTGAAACAATACTACCACAGTACCCATCATGCCGTAGCTCATCTTCTCATATTTGACTTAGGTACGACAAGCATCTTTAACCAAGCTTGAAGACTAAAAGTAAAGGACTCTCCATTATACTGTATCAACATTTTCTAATACAAAAAATAAAATGTTTTGTTTTCCTTTTTGCTAATGTTGGTTCCTTTTTCCCACTTAGCCAAACGATTATTCATAAGTATGCTTGAACTGATTGCAGTGTTGAGCTTTAGTATAAGAGAAAAATTACATTTTCCATTCACTTAGAATTCAGAAATTTTAGGTCAGTCCCATAGTTAACAAAGATAACTTTTAAGATGTTCAAACCCTGCTTTTTACATGTCAAATAGATTGAAGAATGCAGGTGTTAGGCCTAAGTGAGTTTTAGCTTCATTTCTTAGCACTATAGCTCAACAAACACAATTCCTCTTCCACCTGATCACATTTGCCTTCCCTAAGATGCTTGAACAACAGGTGCTCATTTAATGTTTAATTTCTTAAATGGAGTATTCCACATATGCTTACAGTGTTCAGTGTGAGGGACTAGACGGTAATGCTATGTAGTAGATAAGCTCCTATCAAAACCGCTTGCATCATCCACACCAAATATTTCTCAAGAAACCTCTTTAAAAAAGCATCATGACGTCTTCTGCTCACGACTGCCTCTCAGCATGTTAGAGGACCCGCTTGCTGTCGGAGGAATAGCCACTCAAGTAACAACGACACAGTAAATATTCAACGTCACACGGAAAGTCATAGAGCAAAACTCTCATCACGTGTTCGAAAAAAAAAAAAGCTACCTGTTTCCATTTTGGAAGTCACTTCAAACAAGGAGACTGGGGAAACCAAGCTGAAAACACAACAAAGATGGGCCCTCTTTTGATGACAATTTTAGTATCGCCCACTTCAGGAATTATTCATTGCATATATCTGGAATTGCCAACAGCCCCCTCCTGGCCTGCCGGCACTCTCTCAAACTGCTCTCTGTATACTCAGGAAACAAAGTCATCTCAGCATTAGCCAAAGTGAAATATAATTACAAATGTCTACCTCCTGCCAAAAGCATGTAATGCTCGCCAAAAAAATAAATAGACACTGTCGTTGGTCGATCTACTGTTTGAGTTTTCCAAACTGAGGTCTTGCATTAGCTGAGCTGAGTTCAGGGAACCACACTTCGGGGCAACAACATTTCAGCCTTTGAAAAGTGAAACCAACAAACTGGACCAAGATCAAAATTAATTCTAACACCCCCCCCCAACCTAGCAATGTCTTAAAGGTCTACCTTAGTATGACACATCTCTAAGTTCTCCACCACCTCTTCAGGAATATTTGCCTACACCCTTTCAAAGGACACTTTCCAAGGTGTCTTCTTTGAAAAGGAGGGTCCCTTCTCAAGGCAGAAAAAACACAGGTGGGTTCAATATTTTTATTAGCACTAGCTACTTCTTGTATTACATGAGATACTAGATCAGAGGTGCGATCAATGTCATAGTTAACTTATCTTAAATTATGAGGCCATTTCCTTGTTCTCTTGTTTTTAAAAGGTCACCTAGCTGCTGTCATGGCCCTCACTACAGTCTTTATTTTCCTGCGCCTACCCTAAAGTTCCCCAGCTTCTCCTGCTGGCACCCCAGTCTAGCCACTGCAGCAATGGCACAATACATACAGATGTGTCCTCCACTCTAGCTACTAAGAGAAAACCTCCTTTACCAGCATTTGAGACCCCCCCCCCCCCAGATACTCAGGCAATCTGAACGAGACCAAGGGTCTCCTCCCCAACCTGCAAACCAAGGGAAGACGGAGGGACAATTCTGCTGCATCCATACAAGCCACAGATGTGGTTCCTCCCCGCGCTGCAGCATCCAGGGCAATCATCCATACCCGAGAGAAGAGGAGCTTGGAAGGAAAAGCTTTCTGTTTCATTTTTATAACATGCATGTACTCAGACCTTAATCTGCCTCCTCCAAGTGGAGACCTGCGCAATGTCATAATTTGGAGCTGGAGGATGGACGCTTATAGGAAATTTTCCTTTTGGGAAATCGTGGGTCCCTGGTTAGATGGACTATCACTCTCCCCTCTTCAAGCCAAAGTCTGTCTTCGTTTTTTGTTTTTTGTTTAAAAAAAAAAAAAAAACTTGGCCAAACCAGCAAAGTTCCAGCCAGGGTTAGCACTTCATTCCTATCCCATAATTCCGGACAGCTTGGCTAAATGAGTTGGGGCTCCATGGGGGTGGGGGTATCGCTGAGGGATGCTAATTATCATTTTACATGTTTTTCAAACAGAAAGGAATGCCAAAAGAAAGCATAATGAGAGGTTAAGAAGCCCCGCACCACACATGGAGTTCAGAAAGGATGCTGGAAGCAGCGTAGAGAGCTTCTTGGAAGGAAAGAGCCGGGTCCGCAGGAGAGTTCAAGCACCTCTGTGAAGCAGAAGTAAACTTACCTGCGTAGGGGATGGTGACAGGAAGCAGGAGGAGGTGCAGGAGGACGTGCTGCAGCAACAGGACCCGCAGAAGTTTGGTCCCCCACATCACGCTTGCAGTTCGCGCAGGCTGATCCCTCTGCAGGAGATGCCGGGCTGAGAGAATCCTGTTGCGAGCCGGTCGGTTCTGAGCTGCTTTTATTGCGATGAGCTAAGTTTGTTGTGTGATTAACTGGAAAGATCCAGGTCTGAACTCCCTCTTACGGTAAGAAACTGTTTAACAACAGCCCTTTACTCTCTTCCAGCCCCTTCCTTTCCTCAACTCCCCCCCCACAACACCCAACAGAACCCAGCTCCCCCTTCCACGCACTCCACCCCCCCCCCGAAAGAAACTTACAAAGCAAAGGTCACCTGGCCCGAGGCCAGCTGCAATTTGGAAGCTCGAGCTCCAGATCCTTGTGGCTCCTATCCGAGCAGAGAAGGGAGGAGCAAGGCTCAGCCCAATCGCTAAGTCAAGGAACAGGCGCAACAGCAATTCGCCCCGTTTGAACAGGAAAATGCATGTGTTTACATATCTATCTGGGAAAAGAGGAAGGGGAAGCTGCATGAGAAGAAAGCGCAGAAGCCCTCTGCCAAATGAGCCCGAGCGCCCAAGTCTGCGAACTTGCAGTGCCTGAGCGACCCATGCATGGAACATTGACCCCAGTTCCCTGGGTTTTAAAGACAGTGGCAGCAGAGGGAGGGAGCCAGGGGGTTGAGCTTAGGACAGCCCAGGTAGAAAGTGGGAAGGTAAAAAAGGGTGTGGCCTTGAAGGATGAGACTAAATAACAGCAGAATTGCAAAGCGTCCAGGGTTTCAGGCCAGAAAACTGCCCAGTCCAATGGGCTCAGGACAGGCAGCTCTCCTCAGGAGATGTGCTACACCAAACCAGAACAGACGGATGCCAAATACATTTTTCAAAGGTCTCCCTTCTGATGTATCTGGTGATGCTTTCTCTTAAGGCGTCTAATGGGTAGACATGCCCATTGCTTATCCCTGACAAGCAAACAGATGCTCGTCCTTCTGAGCTTGTACCCAGTCACATACGAATGCCTGCCACTATGTGTGCCCTCAGTCTGTCACGTGTGATCCCTTAAGCTATTTTAATTCATAAATACTGTCTGCGCCTCTTTTCTCCTGCACACCCCCCCAACATCACACAGTCTGAGGGGGAGGGAGGACGCACTTGCGGGTGGTGGAGGGGCCCTCATCCCCAAGTATCACGTTTTGGTGAGATCATTGCGCAGACTTCTCCTTTTATTACCAACACGGGGCGGGGGTGGGGGAGTGCTCTGATATTTCAGACGACAGAGCACTTTCTTTCTCGTGGGTTTTGAGGAATAGCTGCCTCTGTGTATTTCTGAGGTGGATACCTATAGGAAGTAGTACCTCTTCGGGGAATGGGAACACCAACAGAATGTGAGACTCTGAGACTCTCTCTCTAAAGTAGCCTGCTGACCTACAGAGGTAACCAAGGGCAAAATGAGAGTCAGTAACGGATGACCTTCCTCTACCTCCATCAGCAAAGGCAGTTAGTTCTTTTCACCCTCCTCCAGAACAGCTACAACTACCTGCAGAGACAAGAGAGAGGGAAAGACTGGAGAAAGGGAGACAGGAAAGAGAGAGGGGGAGAAGAATGAGGAAGATAGGAAGAGGGAGGAGGAGGGAGGATGAGAGGAAGGGAAAGGAAGGAGGAAAGAAACTAGGCTGTGCGGTATTTAGCCATGAAGGAGAACTCCTTTGAGGGATTTTGGTGGTTTTTTTTTTCATTTAAATACTGATTTTAATTAGGAATAACTGTCATGATGAAATAAATAACATTATACATTACTTCTTTCTATTTTTAAACATTTTTAATCATCTTTTATTTATTTTATATTCCAACCGCTCTCCTCCCAATCCCTCCCTCCAACTCCCTCCTACCCCTTCCCCATCCACTCCTTCAGTCTCTACTTAGATGGAATCAGACCTCCCATGGGAATCGACAAAGCATGGCATATCAAGCTGAGGCAGGACCAAGCTCCTCCCCACTACATCAAGGCTGAACAACGCAGCCCACCATAGGGAATAGGTTCCAAAGAGCCAGTTGACGCATCAGGAATTGGTTCTGGTCCCACCACTAGGGGTCTCACCAAAGACACAATTGTCACCCGGATGCAAAAGGCCTGTGTCGGTGCCATGTGGCTCCCTAGCAGGCAGAAACAGCTGACCTGAGCTTGTGGAAGCTCACTAACTCAGGACTTTGTTTTTGAATTTTATGTATATGAATGCTTTACTTTCTATTTACCACTTGCATGCCTGTTCCCTTCAGAAGCCAAAAGAGGGCGTCTGATTCCCTGGAACTGCAGTTAAACAGTTGTCAGTTGAACCCTGGACAAACAAGTTGTGGTCTTAACCTAACTGCTGGGTCCTTTCTCCAGCTCCCTTGAAGGATCTATTTTATATTACTTGTTTCCTGTTGTTTTTTTTCTTTCAACACTTTTTAGTGTAAAGACTAATTCAAACACACCTTTTTTTTTCAGTTCCTGTCCACTGTTCCAATTGTCTATTTTACTTTTTTTAAGAGTTCGCTGAACTTTCTAAAAACATCTAAATTTCAGTATATAACTGACCCTGACTCCGAGCTGCCCCCAAGCAACTCTAATGCTGTGTTGGAAAGAAAAGCGATTTTTAGAAAACAATTTTCCCTGTAAATTTTGTAGGGAGAACAAAGGGAGTGAAACAATCAGGACTCCTGTGTGTCTGTGAGTTTCTCCTCTTTCAGAGAATAGAGTCTTTGGGGTTTATAGATCAGGGAAGGCCTCATGAGGACCTTGCCTTTCCTGAGTGTCTTGTCAATCTACAGGCAGTTAATAATTGCTGGGGGAATAACATTTTCTTCATGGGTTGCCCACACTCTTTTGAAAATTCTGATGAAACTCATTGGATCACACCATCCATCAAAAAAAGTGAACACTTGAGGAGAAAAGGACTCAATGCAAAGAGGAAGAGAGGGCAGCAGAGCAGGAAAATGACAAGAAAAGGATAATTTGTGGGTGAATTTGATCAAAATATACTCATGTCAAAATGTTACAGTAAAATCCATTGCTGTGTGTAATTAATAATTGTTAATACAAGCATTTAAAAAAATTAGGAACAAATAAATCTGTGATAAACCAGAGCATCACAGGTATATTTTCATAAATTTTAACTGTCAGAAAATACAGTAAACACCCTACACCTACTTAAATATGCATTGTTTTTAATTTATTCTGACAAGTTATTTGGTTCATTGAAATTTTAGCTAATATTCACTGGTCTTTTAGTACATGCAAAACATTTTAAGTCTTCATATTGTTTGATTTAAACCTTGGGATAAATATAAGAAAAAATTATTATACTCCCCACATTATAGTCAAAGAAACGTAAGTAAATTATGTTTATACTCAAGTGAAATTGCCCAAGATCACAAAATAGTAAATATTCAGGTATTAGTTTCACTTAGACTGATCATACTCTGTAGTCAGGGATACATTTATTTAAGGCTCATGGGTAGCTGGAATTACATGTTCAAGATTGTAATGACCAAAGTTAGTCAACAACTGAATTATGAGATACTAAATACTTGCAAAACGAATATTGGTACAGGCTGTCTTAGTTGCCTTCTGTTGCTGTGAAGAGGCCCCGTGAGCAGGACACTCTTATAAAAGAAAGCATTTAACTGAGGACTTGCTAACAGCTTCACAGGGCTCGTCAATTATAAACATTGCGGGAAGGAGATGGGTATGGCGCTAGAGCGGTATCTGAGAGCTTTACATCCTAATTGGCAGGCTACAGGCATAGAGAGTCTCAGCCTAGTGTAGGCTGTTGAAACCTCAGAGCCCACCCCCAGTGACTCACTTCTCCCAACAGAGACACATCTACTCTAACAAAGACACACCTCCTCATTCTTAGCAAATACTAACCAAGGGCTTAGTATGGAAACATGTGAGCATATGTGGGCCATTCTAGGCCATGTTAGGCCACAAAGCCTAATATCCCAGCTACATGGGAAGCAATGACTTTAAGGTAAGCCTATGAACATAGTAAAATCCTATCTCTAAAAACATTTTCAACACATAAATAGTTTAAAAGCCTCCAAATCTATAATGGAATGCCTAAATTTAATAAATTACTAATACAGCCATTGTTTGACCTGCCCATCTCTCCATTTTCTAAAACATAAAAATTTGACTGATTTTTATAAGCCTTTAAAATATGTTTGTAAATATTTTAATACAATGAAAAGTTTTCTAAGAGAATATTTTACTTGCCATAATTTATGTGATTATGTTAACGATAGATATCCATTGTCATAAAATATCATTTTAACTCTATCCTAAAATCGGGTTCCCCTGCACATCATATAATCTAGATGGATTGAAAGGAAAGGAGTATACTAGTGTACATTTTGCATGCCGTCTTACCTTTAGAACACATGCCTGAGGTGAGAAGACAGCTCTGTGGTAGAGTTCTTGCCTTGTATGCGTGAGGTCCTAAGATAAATTCTTGGAGCACGGGAAACGACAATACCACACACACAAACATACACACACACACACACACAAACTGATATTTTTTCAAAGGCCTGTCCTTGTCAACTATAAGTGATGTACATATAAAGATGATCCTCAATAAGTTAAATTTATGATGTGATCATGTGATCTCAGAACACTACTAAGTTCCTGCATAAGGAAAATCATTCCATTCATTAAGTGCCCGATATACAACATTTGACATTCTACCTTCTGATTGGCATTCTTTATATTCAAGTTATTCAGATGACTGGTTCAAATTCTAGCTGGGCTACTTGTTAAATTTATTAGTAGATAATTATAATTAATCTAGTACTTGAGCCTCCCTATCAGGCTCAAATACCAAAACAGGATGCTACTAAACACTTTTTACCTATTATCCCACCTTTTTTTTTTTTTTTTTTTTTTTTTTTTTTTTTTTTTTTTTTTTTTTTTTTTTTTTTTTTTTTTTTAGGGATGTTGTGTATATTTCTTGAAACACCATTTAGAGAAACTCTATGTTAAGATTCCCAACATTCCTTCCAGGCTCAAGCTTTTTTGCTTGCACATATGTGAATTTTTTGA